ATTCAACACCTAAAATTATGTATTTATTGATATACCACTTAAGACCCACCATTTCATCTATTATACCACTCCGTTATAACCCCGTGAAAAATTCCACTTTTGGTCAGCGAGGTTTGCAAGTGGAGCTTCCAAAATTGCTTTCGCATCTGATATCTAATGTTCATCTTCTTCCTTCTCTGCTCTATTTTTCTTACTGATATTTTACATTCTTCCGTAAATAAAATAGCACTATATTTAATTACTTATTTATAATTTATTTTATATTAGTATATTAACCCTTAAATACTATATGTATTGCAAAATTTATGTCTGTTAGCAGAGATACATATATATAAATATCAAAGAAACAAATTATATATGAAAATTTTGATTATATTATTAATATTTAAAATTTACAAAAAAATATGAAATAATATCTTGTGAGTTATGTCAACCATAACTAAATTATATGAATTCAATTATATCTTGTAATAAGTCTGTTGTGAACAAGAATATACGCAGTAGAGTAGAAAAATAAAGAGTCTTAGCAATGTATGTATATCTCGTACACTAACAGATATTTGAGAGAGAAAAGAACATCATAAGTTTTTTTATGTGGAAAATCTAAAAAGGGAAAACCACAGGGCCCGGCCCAAATGAGAAAGTTTCACTTAGTTTGAATGAATTACAAAGCTTGATTCGCTCCTTTTATTGGAGAGGGTAGAATTACAATAGATTGTATAATCTAACGTGAGCCTGACGAACAAGCAGAGGTTCGGCAGCGGTTTGGAAGAAACATTGGCAATGGTCGATGAATGGGCGAAAGTTGGGAAGAATTTCAAAAGTGATTGACAAATGGGCAAAAGCCTGGCGGTGGTCGGAAAGAAACTTCAATGGCGGTTGACGAATGGACGGAAGTCGGGAGGAACTCCGGCGGCGGACGACTAACGGACCGAAGTCGAGAGGAACTTCGGAGGCGATCGACAAATGGATCGAAGTCGGGAGGAACTTCGAAGGCGATCGACAAACGGATCGAAGTCGGGAGGAACTATATATGGCGGCTGTCGAGGAGCGGACGAAAGTTGGGAGAAACTCTAGCATGGCCGACAAACAAACAGAGGTCGGGAGGAACTCCGACGGTGGTCAACAAATGGATGAAAGTCGGGACAAACTCCGGCGGTGGTTGGCGACAAGATAGCTCCTTAAGCTCTCTCATTCTTCTCTTCTTCTTGTCCCCCTTTTCTTCTCGATCTCCATTTTCATGTGAAGAATGGGAGCCTATTTATAGGTTTTTTAGAGTGGCATAACTTGTAAATATGGGGAAGATCAAGGTGAAAATGGGAGTGATTTGAATGGATGACCGATATTGATCGATTTGATCATGGATTGTTTATTGGCCATTTGAATGCCTTAATGATTTTAGAATTCAGTGATCTTGGGCTTGTTGGATTCGTCTCATCGAGCCACTCAATTCGACTATAAGCATGTCTCGTTTAGAACTTGTTTGGTAATTCAAATTATAGTTTAAACCTTCCAAAAGTGCTTTGAACCCTTTGTTTGGTTCATTTGGGCTTGGATTGGACTGATGCTGATGTCGTTAGGTTCGTCTTTTCAAGATGTTCAATTCGACTAAGTTTGCTGAAAACAAAACTTGGATGATCCCAGATTTAATTTTGGAAGCTTTCAATTCAATTTTGCTTCAAGATTCATTCTCGGACAAGATAAATTTTTTTATGATATATCAAAGTCATATTTAAATTATAATCATTAAATATATACTATGTCAGCTATTAATATTGTTCTAATTTAATAAGAAATTAAATAAATAATTTTGAGCAAAATTTCAAAACTCATGAATTATTTTTTTTTTACTCAATATTTTGTTATTTTATTTAATTAAGTGAAGTTCTTCGATAAAATGTTTATTAAAATTGTCATCCTGTAAGACTACAAATGTTATAAGAGTAAAAGTTATTTGATAAAACTTGTTGTATTACATAAAAAAAAAAAATTAAAATTGTTTTAATTATGTGTAAGATTATTTCATATCCTAATTATTTATTAGTATGTAAATTACATAATATAATGATTTTATTAATGAATTAATACATGACTAATTATTATATTTACATCATAATACTTTGGCTACTACTTTTTTCTCTTATTAAATAGCCTAAGTTACGATCCTAATCATTAATCAGCAACTAATTAACTTAATGAATTTAACAAATAATAATTAATAATTATATTCAAATGATTTGTTACACCATACTTAATTTTAAACATTTATCTTAACAAATTAATTTGATTTATTACTTAATAGGATTAGGATTGCATTTAATTGTATTATATTTTAGTCTTCATTAGTTTAATGTAATTAGGACGGTCAATCTTTAGGTCAAACAGCACATCAACTACTTCATCATTTGAATCACGAGTTCAAATAAAAGATTAGTATTTCTCTATCCTATTAGAGTTAAGCTCACTCTTTCTATAATATTTAAACACTTAGCATCAAATTGGTGCGCTTCTTGACCTCCTAATATTATCTAATTAATCTCGTGCGAACTCTATCCCTCTTAATGAAGTTGGCTATTGTCAACGGCTTATTATAACCGATCATTGGCTAATATTTCAAGAGAATTTTTTGCTATTAACATTTCTCCTAAGAGCCCTATGTTTTTTGGTGTCATATTGATGGTTCATTTCAAGAGCTAACCCTTTGTAGCAGACCTATATTGGTCATACTTTGATCGAAACTTTTTTTTCTTAGAAAATCAGCTCTATCTATGGGTGTCAATTTTTGACACGACCCGAACCCATCCCGGAAAAATCGGGGTTCGGGTCAACCCGAACTCGAAATGGGTCGAGTTCGGGTTGAACAAATCAGACCCGAAATTGACACGAAAACTCATATTTGACCCGAAAACCCGAGATTGACCCGTTTTTACCCGATTTTGACCTAAAAATTGAATATTGACCCGATTTTTTACCCGAAAATTAGCAATTTTAGGTCAACTTCGGGTCATTCGTATCAAGTCGGGTTGAACCCAAATCGGGTTGGGTTCGGGTCCGGAAACCTGACCCGTTTTTAAAACGTGTCAGGTTCGGGTTGACCCGAATAGTGCCGGGTCAGTTTCGGGTTCGACCCGAACCCGACCCGCTGACCCGAATTGACACCCCTAGCGCTATCAGTGGCTTGTTTAAGGAAAGAGAGAAGGATTCATGGAGTGTTTTGTTGTCAATGTACCCAAATTCTTTAATTAAAAAAAAATAATAAAGAGGAAATTGAATCCATACGCCCATGTAGTTTAAAATATATTTGTGATTTTTATTTAAAGATATTTGAGTTAGATTCAACTTCATGGAATAATAAAATGTAAAAAAAAAAAGACAATATATTGTAGCAAGTCGTTCATTTAACGGGCAACTTGTTGGTGTATTTATATTAAAAAATGCACTGACTAGATAGTTGACCGGACTTTATGGGCGATTATGCAGACTCATATAAAATTTTAATATCAAATATATCACTCATATATTTCATTCTTGCCATCCATATCATCCTATAAATTTTAATATTTCATTTCATGCATTCATATTTGTTCTATGTATGGTAAACATGTAATATTAAAGTTTTAGATATTAGATATGTAAATAGCATGAAATAAAGTGGTATGTATGTAAATCCATCTTTTTTTAATGGCATCTAGGCTTCATTTGGGACGGCTTTCTTACTACTTCTTAAAACAGCTTTTTAGTACAAAAATTTTAAATTTTGTATTAGAAAGCCGCTTTAAGAACCAGAAAAAAAAATTCTCCCAAATAAAATATTAATTGCATGATTTAAATTTTTAAATTTTTAATCATACCCACTTTAAAAATTGTCCATATCTAAATCACAATGGGGCATTTCAGCCTCTCTATTTTAACTTTTTGGATGATCTTATCATAAAAGTTAATTCATAGTTGAATCTCCATGACATTTTATTTCATTTGAAAAATAAATAAATTTCACAATTAAAACACCTTCTAGATTGTTCCTCCATCTATGATAGCTTTGCTATTGAGGGAAACATGGTTGAGGGGACTGATGAATATTCTAGAACTCTAGCCTTGGTGCAAGCCTCTCTAAATATCTAAGAAGAGGATGTCATAGTCACATTTTATTTATCACGACCTCCAAATATCTTTCTTTTCTATATTGTCGCTTTACTAGAGAAGGAGGCCTTTGATTTCTCATAAATGATGAGATGGTATTATCACCACTTACAATTTTA